AGTCTCTTCTACTCACCAAGGCTGCATTTGATCAAAAATACTTTAAAAAATATATATATATTTTTTTTAATGTTACATTTTAAAATAATAATTTATTTTGTAGTAAATTAAAGTGCAATTTATTCCTGTGATCAGCAGTGAATTTTCAAAACCGCTTGAAACATTGGTTTATAACTTTTATTTTTTTTTAAATATTTTGGAAACCGTGATTTAAAATGGAAATCCTTTGTAAAATATTGTTAACATTTAACTCAAAGTGCTAAAATATCCTAAGATAAAAAACTAAAACAATAAATAAAATGGCTAAAAACCATACAAACTCATAAAAATGACAGGCACAACAAAATGACAGACTTTAGCTGAAGATATGAGGGGGGAAAATCCAGTTAAGAAAAATATATGTAATTGTATATCAGAGGAACATTAAAAGTTATTTTAGTATCAGTCACAGTTTAATGCCCGTTTACTAAATAAAATTTACTTACTAAAAAAAAAAAAACTTGCTGTCACCAAACTTTTGAACTGTAAATTTTTTTTAAAGTGGATCATTTTAATGGAATCATTTCATTTTATTTGATTAAACATTCATTTGATCTTGTTTCTCCTGAGGCTCTGCTCATCTTTGTTAGTTGCTTTGGTTCGAGTATTTGAAGTGTAAAGTGAATGTGTTTCTCTCAGGTAAAGCAGCAGCGGATCATAACGCGGCCTGGGCAGCTTATTACGCACAGTACTACCAGCAGCCCGCAGGGGGCGCTATGCCCGGACAGACACCTGCGGCCCAACCGGCTGCTCCCGCTCCTGCTGACCAGAGCCAAGCTGCTCCCGGTGCCGCCCAGCCCGACTACACCAAGGCCTGGGAGGAGTACTACAAAAAGATGGGTATGAGCGCTCATTCCTCATTGTGTTTAGTAAAGAGAGAGTAGTGAATGAATCTGCAGGCATTCAGGCTGCCTTTTCTTACAGCTCCGTGTTTTGCTGATGAAAATCATCTCTCATCTCTATCAGCTGCAGCAGGAGGAGGTGCTGCTCCCGCCGCAGGAGGAGCTCAAGCCCCGGGAGCTGCAGCGGCGGGACAGACGGACTACAGCGCCGCGTGGGCGGAGTACTACAGACAGCAGGCTGCTTACTACGGACAGACGGGACAGGCCGCGGGACAGCCAGGCGCCACACCGCAGGGCCAACAGGTACAAACACAAATCACACCTCTGTACTGTTTCCACGAGTCTGAACAGCCAGTGATGGCAAGTAGATTCAAATTCATATTTAATTAAAGTTGAGTAATGATGCAAACTAATTTAACTAGTTTAAAATTGACAAGTTAACTGATTGGCTGAAATTAAAATACCTTACGGTTTTGATGCTTTAAATTCAATTAAATTAGAAATATTAAGTCACATTATTAAAGTTTCTGTTTGCCAACTAAACTTTGATATATAACATTCTTTAAATATTATAAAAGATATTAAGTAAATAGTATGCATTTTCATTTAATTATGCATAAACGCATAGCTTTCAATATGATGCCTATTAATAATTTAATATTATAATTATAAACAAATATAAATTCAAATAACTTATTTTTGTGTTTTATGTGCACCATTTTATTTTTAAGTGATTGGCAAAAAATAATATACCTTACGTTTATAAGACTTGAGACTAAATCAAATCAAAAATAAAATATTAATATTTAAAATAATTATAAATAAAGAATAATATATTCATTGAATTTAGAGTTTTATGTACATTATGTATTTTTAATTGATTGACAAAATGAATGTCAAGTTTTCTATGCTGAAGATTAAATTAGATTGAATTGAGTAAGTTACTCACACTATTAAAGTATTGTTTCCAAACGTATGTTATGGAAACTTCTATAAATAAAGTTAATATTTTCAAATTACATTTTTTGTAAATTACACTTAAGCATCTGAAATACCAATTGATAATTTAATATAAACAAAATAATTATGAAAATAAAATGTCATGTAAAATGTACTTCAAGTATTATGTTTAGTTTTTTTCTCAAGGTTTTTAGGCAAGGCAAGTTGTCGTGATTATGTATTATCATTTTCTATTTTTAACTGTCCTAAATTCATTTTAAATCCAGTTTTAAATCATATTCAAAGTTTTTAAATTCCTCGTTTTAATTTTGTGATTTATTTTGATTATTTTACTTTTATGTAAAGCACTTTGAATTACCGTTGTGTACGAAATGTGCAATATAAATTCAAAACCTTGGCAAGGCAAGTTAAAGGCGTAATTGGAAGTTGTGATTGAGCGGTGTTGCTCAGTTGTGTTTCCACATGCAGCGGCGATGTGACCGTGTTTTCTCGTCTCTCTTCAGGCGCAGTGAAGTGACTGCTGAACTCTCATCTGTTCTGCTCCTTCCCTCCATCCTCACTCTCCTCTGACTAAAGGACTTCTGCTCTTCCCGGTTTGTTTGTTTTTCTTTCTCGTGTCCAGTTGAAAAGCTCTGTGTCTCTCTCTCTCTCTCTCTCTCCTCTGAAGCCGGATTTCTGTCTTTATGAAACAATACGGCTTCTGTAAACGCTCTTTGTTTCTCCTCCTGGTTTTTGCTGGATCCATAAACGCTGATGGACTAAACTCACTCTGCCGTCCCCTCCACAAACACGTCGTCCCTCCTCTTCCTTGCATCAGTGTGACTCATGAATGCTTCAACTAACTTCCTCACATGAGTGTGCACTTCCTGTTTTTGCATTATTATTTTAATTAAGTATTTGAGGAAACCGGTCCATTTAGAGAATCTTCAGGTGTAAATAACTACTGTGTTTCAAACTCAATGAGTAACCATGTCTTTTTTTTAATGTCTTGTGTTTTTGCTTTTAGTCGTTTTAATTTGATTTCGTGCTGGAACATTCCCACTGTTTAACGTGTACCCTTTTTTTTTCTATTCATTTAGTGAGTTTTTTTTTGTTGTGATTTTTCTCCTGTGATTTATCAAATGGGGTTTCAGTCTCTGTGTGTGTGTGCGTGCGTGCGTGCGCGTGTTCTGGTACTGAAACTCAAGCCGTGTGTTGCTCCTCACTCTGTGAAATGAGGGTTTCTGTTCGGTTTTGTTTCTTCCCACCCCAAGTTATTTGAAGTCATGATGTTATAAATAATTTTTTTTTTTTTTTTACTGCTTGTTTTTAAAATATGCAAAATAAACATTACAAAATCCTCGTCCGATCACATGACCACGGTTCAGTCTGATGGTGTTTTTGTTGATGGTCTGGTTTGTTTTTTGAAATGCAATCATTAGCATTACTTTTGATCATTCTTCTGGTTGGAGACTAGAAGTTTTACTATAAACATTTTACTATAAAAGGCCAAGAAGAACTTGATTAAGGGTTGTGGGAAGAAAGTAAATATTACAATATCGAACTATACATTTTTTTCTTTTTCCATTTTTGTAATTTTCCATTAACTTCTCTGGATTTCAGTGCCAAAATAATAAAAAATGTTGAAACAAGATGGATTTGAATGAAACGTGCTTAAATGGCTTTTTTTTTTGGTTTTCGACCAGTCCTGGTTCAGGCATCTGTTTTAAGTTCAAACTGTTAGACCTGTAATTACTGGCAGTTAATCAGGTTAGTTTTTCTGTAATGTTACTTTAGAAAGGTTCATTACAAGAATGAGAACTATAGATTTTAGTCAGGGTAGTTATTTAATTTCTGATAGGAATGAGAACGAGGCTGTGAGGTGCAGAAGTACCTTGCGTTTAATGGACTGTTCTGTTTAACAAATAAAAACTGCCAAATACTCCACGGAACCGTTTTTAAAGTTGTGAAAACATTCTAAGACCTTAATACAGTGTGTGTGCCATTGTAAAGTCTCGTTTTCATTCCTAGCTAAATGAAATATGGTGTCTAACCTAACGCTGGTGGATTCTGATTGGCTGTCAATGTCTTTATCGTTCATCAATAAAAACCGTTCTTACAGTCATTTGAACAATATCGATATCTGTGATCCTTATAGGTGGTGTGAACGAATGATAACTTGAAAGACTTGTTAATACATGAATGATATCCTAGAGAAAGATTTCAACATTTTTATTCAGATCACAGCTGGGACTTCAAGTGCAACAACATCAGAGAACAACAGACACTTGAGTGTGTGTCTGTCAGTTCAGTGCCGGAGCAAAATCTTTTGGAGATAAACGCTAACCGCACAATATTTACAGCAGTAATGAAAGAACGCATACAAAAAAAAAAAGTTCTGTTAGAATGTGCTGATGGTTTGCAAAAGACTTGACTGGCATTAAATAGAATACTCATAATGGACTTTAGTCTCACCTCATTCTTACAAACTTTTCTTTTTTTTTGCAATTCAATTACAGAATAGTCACTAATTAAACTTTTCATTAAAATCTGCAATTTACAAGTACTACCATGATGCTTGACCTAATTTAAAACAAAAAACATCTTTCCTATTTCCTTTTTATTTTGAGCTGACAGATTTTATGATTCACTCATTTAAAAAAAATTTTTTTTAAATGACATGAAAGACATCATCAGACTCTTCTCTTTACTGAAATAAAAAACGCAAACCAAAATAAGGAAAGTGAAATGACACTGACATGTGAACTAGTTTTAGTCACTAAAGAGAAAAACTTTCTTTAACCAAAATACATTAAAATGGCCTTTCCAAAACTGAAAACAATCATAATATATTTTTAAGCAAATTGCAAATAAACACTACCAGTTGCAATACAAATATTTATGCCGTAAATTCTTCACTTTCGACGTTCAACCTTTTATTTTGGCGGCTTTCTCAAAACAATTTAAATTATGGATAGTGGACTGTTTGAGCCGGAATCAATGTCTGAAAGTTAAAAGACATTAATGATGGACTTGTTTCTTACAAACACAGCTTTCTTCCATTGCTACGCAAGTGATGTAATGCTACATTTCTCCAAATCTGTTCTGATGAAACAAACTCATCCATAACTTGGAGAGTAAATTTTCATTTTTAGGTAAACTATCCCTTTAATTTAATCACAGCCTTTGATTTGATAAGACATGTCGTTATTTCAGTTTTAGCTTGATTAACTGCAAGGCCCCATTTATTAAATGGTGGTTCGATTTAATCAATTATTATCTTTTCATCAATTTCAGCACTACTGAGACGATTCATGATCAGAGCTTCACACACTGGAACGAGCTGAAGGATCTGATCAAGTCCTCCGTCTTGAACTCAGACGGGAAATCGTAAATCTCCACGATGTGTGACAGCTCGTCGTCCCGAAGCTCCACCTCCTCTTCCTCCTCCGGCGTCCAATTATAGCTGTCGGAGCGTGCCTCCTGTATAGACGACTTCTTGCGGCCCTCCGTAAGAGACATCTGAAGCAGGGAGAAGAATCAAACATGGGCACAAACCCCGGCTAATGCATCTCACTTCATTATGTCATCGTTAAAGGGACAGCTCACTCAAAAATGAGAGACGGGATTGAATCGTCTTTGTAACTCTTACCTCCTCCACTAAATGTGGGTCAAGACAGTCACCATCATCATTAAACAAAGAATCCCAGTTCTCCTCTTCATCCTCCTCCTCTGGCACCCCATCATGTTCTAGTGCGCTCCCCGTGTCCTCTGGTGTGTTCATAGTTCTGGATACACTGTCCGTATCATCTCTAGACTCCTCCTCTTTTTCTGTGTGCATGTTTAGGTTTTCTTTATCTCCCTCCTCCTGCTTTACCTCTCCGTTTGGAGTCTCTGTTGCTTTGGCTTTATCCTTCTTGTTCTTGCGGGCCTTGTCAGTGTACCGGGGCCTGGGTCTGGATTTCTTGTCACCATCTGTCTGAGGCTTCTCCATTTTCTCGGCCTGTTTCTTGGGCACGTAGATGTCCATGGTGGGCTTTTTCGTTGGGGCCGGAGCAGCCGCATTGGGCCCCTCGTCTGGCTGAGCTGCTTCAGTCTCCATAGGGATCTGTGTAAAGAAAGTGTAATGAGGACAAATGCTGTTTTTAGAATAGCATACGACCACACAAGTGTCCATGTAAATGGCCTGCATTTATATAATATGCCAACATTTGCCCTTTCACTTCCAGAGTGTCACACAGATAGGGCTTTATACATGTTGTGATTTTACAACATCCCTTTTTGACTCATTATTTAAACCCGTCGTTTTCATTACTTAAAACTGATGTTTCTGGACGACGTTGGGTGAACAACGCACAATAATTTTAATTTACAAGATAATAAATGACAACAATGTAGCATGCTACTGTTTGAAATACACTCTCTGTTTTAAAAATAGTTCGCTTTCATAACACAAACGCAAATGTACTGACCGCGACACCATTTAGAAACCCGCAATATCTTTTCAAAGCAACTACCAAGTACTGACAGTAACATCAAAATCTTCTAGCATAGTATGTTACGATGTAAAAATCAACACTTGTAGAGGAAATTCTTCGAAGTTTTCTTCTACTTACATCTCAATATTTTTCAGTTCGCCGAAACCATAACCGGATGTTTGGAGACGTACGGACGCCATGACGTCACGGTCGGAAAGCCTGTTATGGGAGTTGTAGTTTAATAGTGTAGTTTAGATGCGAAGCTATCCAAAGTATCCATAGTAATCGTTTTATAATTTAACTCATTCAACTGCGAAAATAACTATCTTAATCATTGAAATCAATGCCTAGTATAATACGTTACAAGTACTTGTGATAACTTTTTCAGTAACAAATGCCGCACTACTATTATTCACACAACAAACATTACAATTATTTATAAACAATACATGCAAACCTGATTCTTTTATGTAATAAATAATAAAATAAACTGTATTATTTTAGCCAATTAAACTCATTCAAGGTTATTTGTTTGAGTTTGTTAGGGATGCATCTGCATGCTGAACCGCGCGTCGTTAACGCCCTCTTTTCTCTTGCGGGCCTGTGATTGGTCGGGCCGCCACAGTATTTAAAATACTCGACAGTGATTGGTCAGTCGCGTACACAAGCGCTTGTGTAAGGCGGCTGCATTGAAGTTGTGTAAGGAGCGAATATACGCCGTATAAAACAGAACTCACACATAATTTTTCCAAACTTTTGAGTCAAGCCACGTGCTGGAAACTCTGAGAGCGTGAGTATCCACTATAATCCAGCCCAGTCAGCGCGACAGGTGGATATGACACATTATTATTTACTTCTAAAGCTAAAATAACAGTTCTCTCTGTTGAGGTGATGGTGACTTACAAATGCATGAACAATTCTGTCCTGTCATGTCGCTTTGGTTTGCTTAGTTCTGCTCTGAATGTCTGTTTTCTTTAATGCAAAACATCATATTTGTTCTGTTTTGCATCCTCGCCATACTTTCCTTTCTTTCAGTTTCATTGAAATATAATTGCATGATCTTATTTATGTTTTCATATCCATATGCTGTGTGAGCAATGCCATAAGTGCTTTTCACATGCACCTATTGCATGATTATGAATCATAAGTATGAATACTGCTGTCAGTTTGCACTCTGTGATGAACACTGTTTGATTGACAGGTGGAGATGAGGATGTGGTGGGCGTGTCTTCTCGGTTTGGCCCATGTTCTCCGTCACCATGGATACGGTTCTGCCTCCAGATGCCCTTCACAACCCCACCCAGCGGAATTATGGGATGGCGGAGATGGAGACGGGCATCTGGAGGTGGTGGTGGCTGGGGAAAGAAACTCCAGCATAACCTGACTTGTTATTATTAAATAAAATTAAATGTATGAATATATATACTGTATGCATATGTACCCGCTATTTAAATCTGTCTAAAAGTATGACACTGGGATGAGACAAAGTTGGGAGAAAAATGCAAAATAATTTTTATAAATAGAAATAGATTAAAGTTAAATGAAAAGATAAAGACATTTATACTTAATATTTTCTACACACAATAAAGGTTACAATCTTCAGGGTTTGAATGTGAAGAATTTAAAACATTTATATTGTAACTTGTCTTAGTTAAATCACAGTGGATAAATATGACAAAATAATCACAAAAAATAGCCCTTTTTTATTATTATAAATTGAACAGAGTAACAAAAATGTGATTATTTTTTCTGAAAGGTAATCCTGGAGCACAAAACCAGTCATAAGGGTCAATTTTTTTGAAATTGAGATTTATACATCATCTGAAAGCTGAATAAATAAGCTTTCCATTGATGTATGGTTTGTTAGGATCGGACAATATTTGGCCGAGATACAACTATTAGAAAATCTGGAATCTGAGGGTGCAAAAAAATCTAAATATTGAGAAAATCATCTTTAAAGTTGTCCAAATGAAGTTCTTAGCAATGCATATTACTGATCAAAAATGTAGTTTTAATATATTTACAGTAGGAAATTTACAAAATATCTTCATGGAACATGATCTTTACTTAATATCCTAATGATTTTTGGCATAAAAGAAAACTCTATAATTTTGACCCATACAATGTATTGTTGGCTATTGCTACAAATATACCCCAGTGACTTATGACTGCTTTTGTGCTCCAGGGTCACATATAGCCTCTTGGGCTATAAAGGTAATAATCTTGAAGACCAGTCATATTTTTTGGTTCTTGACAGGTTTGAGGATTGTCGCCCATTAAAGCTTTTGTTGTTTGTCCATTGTCAGGTATAACGGCCCAAACCTGGTTCTGAAGTATGACCGTAACGTTACCCAAAACAAGCTCGTGAACACTGCACCAACAACGCCTTCTCAGGTGCGCAGAAAAACCGTGTCGTGGTGACAAATAGACCCGCAAAACAAACACTAGCTAAACCAAATGAAACTCTGTTCTCGAAAACTGTTCAAGTTCCGTAACGGTCGCTTCGAGCAGTGTCTAATTTTCAGAGAAAGTTGTTAAAGGAAGGTTGATTTGTTGCTAAAAGTTGCTAAATGATGTTGTGATGTCATTGCGCAATGACAAGCAGTGTATTATAGTTAGTTAGTATGCTACACTCTAAGAAAAATCTGTAAAAATAAGGCACAATCTACTATGTTAATGTGAAAGAATTTTCCATAATGTTTTTTTACCTGCATTTTAAATTACGCATTGTGTTTTCGGGTTACAGTGGATGTTGGATAATGGATAATGTCCTGAAAGATTTTCCATTTTTCTTACAGTGTACTGACTGATCAACAATTGCAAGTACAAGCTACTAACAAAGTGCATCATAAATGAACAATTATTCAATTATCAAATTGTTCAATTATTATTATTATTAAATTGAACAATTGCAAATAGCAGCTAACTCAATTCACGTGATGTGTGTACTGCTAGGCATCTGTGGTTTCCTCTTTTTGTGTCATTTGGATGAAGCTGGCAGTGATGTTGAGAAAGGCGTCATTGCTCTGTCTGATGTTGCACCACAGGTCAGAGAGAGACCAAAAGACATGTTTGTTTATAGATCTAAAACTTTCAAAAGTTTGTGGTTGGTAAGATTTGTTAATGTTTCTGATACAAGTCTCTTCTGCTCACCAAGGCTGCATTTATTTGATCAAAACTACAATTAAAATTCTAAAATATTATTACTATGTCTTCTATTTGAATATATTTTAAAATGTAATTTATTCCTGTGATCAAAGCTGAGTTTTCAGCATCATTACTCCAGTCTTCAGTGTCACATGATCCTTCAGAAATCATTCTAATATGCTGATTTGCTCTTTAAATAGCATTTCTGATTATTATCAATGCTGAAAACAGTTGTGCTGCTTCATATTTTTGTGGAAATTGTGATAAATTTTGTCCAGTATGCTTTGATGAATAGAAAGGTAAAAGAACAGCATTTATTTAAAACACAAATCTTTCATAACATTATAAATGTCTTTACTGTCACTTTAGATCCATTGAAAAATGAACCCAACTTCCTGTTCCAGAGCAACGGCGACGGAACCTTCACAGACGTGGCCGCCGAGGCAGGTGAGACACTCCAATCTATATTCCAGTCCTGATTTCTAATCCTCAGCCAGTCTTATGTTTATGGTTTGATGGCAGGAGTGGAGGACAGATATCAGTGCGGGAGAGGTGTGGCGCTGGCAGACTTTAACGGAGATCGAAAGACAGACATTGTTTACGGCAACTGGAACGCTTAGGTATGATCAGATTATATACATCAGATCATTTAAAAGTGAATTCAGTCACTTTAAAGGGGTCATATGATGCAAGTTTTCCTTTCTCTTTGGAGTGTTACAAGCTGATTGTGCATAGATAAGATCCCTGAAGTTGCAAAGACTAAAGTCTCAAAACCAAAGAGATATTCTTTATCAAAGTTAAGACTCTGCCACGCCCCCCTAAAACAGCTCGTTCTAACACGCCCCCACATATCTACCTCACTATGTGGAAATATTTGCATAATGCCGCCCAAATGTGCACGCAAAGAAAGAAGGCGTGGTTTCAGTAACCGCAGTTAGTGTTGAAGCAGCATGTCAGGAAGACGCTGTGTGTTTCAAGGCGAAAGCAAAAGCACTTTATTTGGCCTTCCGGAAGTAGATGCATTTAGGAATCTTTAAGATCACTCACAACAGAACAGCAATGCATTTTATGGACGA